TTAGTGAATCACTATAATTATTAGTGTATCATTTATAATGTGTTAGACAATGTTCTGAGCACATTAAATTATTTATCTCAGTTACTCATAATAACTTCAAGAATTTGATTCTTTTATTATTTCTGTTTGACAAATGGGAAATTTAAGCATGAAGTCCACTAATTTGGAGATTTATAAGGTCAGAACATTAATATAATAAATTCTCTCATTATGACTGCTGAACAAGGAAGAAAGACTGCTGTGATCATATTCCCAAATGGCATAAGTAATATATAGCATTTAAAAAATCTTTTGTCTAATCTGTATTTGTTATCTAAAATATTTGGCAGGTCCTGTATGAGGCTAGATCTGCAGCAACTAGAGATTATATTTTAAATTTGCAGTTTTCATTCTATTACCATGCTTATCTTTTATTTCTATATAATTTACTTTGTTTAAGCTCGTAGTTGTGAAAAAATAGCATTCAGAAGTGTCAGTTGATTTTAAGCTATCATATGTTGAATATAGATGAATATTCATTATTATTAATCTAAGTCTGTCATAGGTCAGAAAAATACCATTCAGTTCAACTTGTATCCAGTTTATTTTTATAATAGAAAGATTTAAATAAGCGCATGTAAAATAAAAGAAAGTGTATTTTATAATAGAGGTATTTTAAATAATTGTATATAGAAGGTAAAGGTTTTAGTATGTTAAATTTTAAAAACTAGCTTTTGGTTATAGGCCTAGATGGAAAGAGATGTCACCTAAGTGAATAAGTTCTGTTGAAACTATGGAAAATATACTTTTCATAATAATTGCATTTTATAAAACAGATCATGTGACACAATATTACGTGTAAGGGTGTTAACAGATATTTCCATTTGAAGAAACGTCAAAAGTTTCTATGACCTTGTCTATACTAAAGTATATCTCTTCTAGATAATTATTCATGTGGTAGATTATAAAATCTACTACATGTACTTTTTAAAAATCACTCACATGGGGTAATCTTAACGTGCCATGACAATACAAATTAACCAAATCATGTGCATCAGTAATAAAAAAATTTGAATGGCAGTATAACATGATCATGTTTAAGACATGCTGATTTTGCTGGAGATTTATCTTTGAATATAAAATTTTCATACTACTAGGGAATTTGAAGCTTCTGATAAAAAGAAATGTATTATGTTTTTGTCTCACAGGGCAGAGGTATTTTAAAGACAGCTACCTTCTTGGTGGGAGCCATTGAATAATTTATACCAACTCAAAACTAAATATGTTACTAAAGTTCTGCCTTTATTAGGTAGTTTATTTGCTGCTAAATTTTATATATATATATATATATCTTTATATATAATATGTTATAAAAATATATATATGTTTTAAGTGAAACAAAACTATCAGGGTGGAGATATCTATGTTTATTTTTGCAAAACATCTATACTATTTTTAAGGCAAAATAATTTTATAGAAATATTTACTAATCATATATATGTATATGATATATTTATATATATATACACACACATATATTTGATATATAAAATATATGACATTTGTAATTGATTCTACCAAGTTGATGATTAAAATGCTTTATCATATATGTCGTTACATACTCATTTTTTTGGTAATTTTCCTGAGATACTTTGGATTTTGTTATATCAAGTGACTTCATCTACCTTTATCCCAGATGTGACTCTCTGAAAGATAGAATTTAGTGAAAATTTAATAATGTGTAATGAATTCAAAAGCAATAGTAAGGGTGTCAGGTAGAAACCCATCATGCTGATGAGTTAATATCTGTATCTGCATTACATTCTATTTGCTGGCTCTGTCTGATGTTTGAAGAGCGTTAAATTGCTGATATACATGTGATGGAATGCCTATTGTCAGGCTAGAGATGAAAACTCTGCCTCACCATTGCAGTTGGCTTTTAAATGATTTATAGAGAAGTGACTTTGAATGTTTGTATTAGAGGTCAGAATTAGAGATCTCACATTTCTGTAGTAACTCCCATGTGCCAAGTCTTCTTTGAACGTAAACCAAGCTCTACCATTCAATTTTTTTTTAAGCCTTTAGGGAGAGAGAGAGAGAGAGACTGTGATTCATTAAAATGGGAGAAAAAAAATCTAGACAACTGTATGGAAAAATTGTCCAAGTAAAGTAATCAATAATGCATAAGCTGAACAGTTAAGGAAGTAAATATAATATCATGTCAAGATAACAGCAATTTATTGATGTTTAGGCCAAAGTGAAAAAGATTGACTAAAGCCAGGAAATTGCAGTTTACAAAGTGCATTAAAATAAATTGGTTTCTAAAGTGTTTAGAGATTACTTATTCTACTTCCTTCAGATTTTTTTGCATCCTCTAGTATTTTCTTCTGACATTTCCTTTAACCCGAGTGAGATTCAGTTTCTTCCTCTATAAGTTAATCAGCCATTACCTAACCTATTCGAATACTTACCACTAACTCCATATGTTACTTACTTTCTCTGCCTGTCTTGATTTGACCGAAGACAGAATTCAAATGCTATACTTCCTTGAATCATTTTGAAAACAAGGCCAAACAAGAAGGAATGGAGGGAGGGAGGGAGGGAAAAGAAAAGGAATGTAGAGCTATGAGAACATTTAGTTTATCATGTGATGATTTTTATGTTTTAGTCTCTACATATAGACTAAATGTTAATAAAAAACACCAAACACTATAATGTGTGTGTGTGTGTGTGTGTGTGTGTGTGTGTGAATATTCTACAGCCTCCTCTCCATCTCCACAATGTCTTGCAGAATTATGTAATTATTAACTTTCCACCAATCCTTGACAGTTCTATCTCCTCTAATACTAGAAATGTCTCCTCTATATAGCCTATCCACTACTCAAATAGCTGCTTTAGATTCACTATCTGAATGAATCTAAATGACAAGACTATGAAGTTTGTATTATTATTATGCCCATTTCACATGTGAAGACCCTGTGTTGTAGGGAGGTTGAGTTTTTTGCCCAGTGTCAGCTTTTCCTAGCTTTTTTCTCAGCACCTTTGCCCATGTGCTGTATCCTCAGCCATAGCATATCACTCTAGGCTTTTCAAATGGAGCGTTCTTATTCTTTGCTTTTGTAAATTTCCCCTTCTTGTGTGTTCTACTCTCACAACCACCTCTCTTGCAAAGCAACTTAGAGGTCACTTTTTTTGAATAATAAGTTTCTGTATTTTCTGCTAGAATCAATCACCGGTGAGTTTCCCTGGCACTTTGCACATCGTATCTGACGTTTTTGTTTGTTGGTGCATTGTCTCTCTGATTTGTTGGTTCCCTGTTTGGGGAATAGGATCCTATTTATTTCTGTCTTCATTGCCTATCTCAGTGCCTGACATGCATTAGATAATCATTTGTATTGAGTCAATGCTGAGTTAGAATTATTTCTAGATTATAAGGTAGCATATGAAAATTCTAGTTAGAATTACAGACTTTTTATTTTATAAAATTTCATATAAATAAATTTAATAGTTGAACTTTCTTAAAAATTTAGGGTATTTTAATTATATGGGCCTCAGCTAGCCAAAATTGGCGGTATGCATAGCCATAATTCTGTACGTAATGCCACTCCCTTTCGTGAAATCCTTGTTTTATCTTTTTCATGGGAATTTACTTGTCAACCACTATTACTAAGGCAATTAGCTAATCAATTATCAGTTGAGCTGTGTTTTTTCCCCACCACAGTGGGACACACTGAAAAATCATAAAACATAGTGAGGGACCTAAGATCCGGCTGGGGTGACTAATACACAGAAAAATTAAGTATGAATACTCTTAATCTGCAGCCATAATACACCAGTGGGTTACTGAATACAGACTTAAGACCACTTGCAGTTAATTAGCCCAGTTTTCCTGATACCACTCGGCAGGATACAACAAACTGTCATCCAAAGCTGTGCAGGGGAGAAAAACCTCCATCTGCCATTCCTGTAGCAAGGTTATAAAACCAAACTCTCCTAGGCTGGCAAAAGGCTTCCCTCTTTGGATTGATGCCATCCCAGACTTTTATTTAAAGTTTACTGAGCCAGGACAATTTGTGTCACTAATTTCTTGGAACATCGAGGTCCTCTCTCATGGTCTTAAAGTTGTGCAGTCTTTTTGGTAACTTAAGCCTCTGTAACATAACAGATTTTGCTTCTTGCAGAATTCATATTTCATTTAGTTATTCTGACTATACCCTGAATTTGTGTTTTTAAGACTAGCTCTGACAGTGTAATCATTTCAGGGTTTTTATTATTTTCTGTCTTTATCTTACCAAATCATAGCTTTACTACTTTTGTCTTTAAGTTTTTGGAAGTTGTTTTGTGACCATAAAGGTTTAATTTTGCCTTCTACATTGCATTGCCCTTCAGTGTAATTGCGCATTTGTGACTGTTGTGATTCTCCTGAGCTTCAAAGATTAATGGTTGAGGTGGGTGGGTGGGCGTGTGTGTCGTGTGTGTGTGTGTGTGTGTGTGTGTGTGTGTGTCGTGTGTGTGTGTGTGTCATGTGTGTGTATGTGTGTGTGTGTCGTGTGTGTGTGTGTGTCTGTGTGTGTATGTGTGTGTGTTGTGTGTGTGTGTCGTGTGTGTGTGTCGTGTGTGTGTGTCTGTGTATGTGTGTGTGTGTCGTGTGTGTGTGTGTCTGTGTGTGTGTCGTGTGTGTGTGTGTGTCGTGTGTGTGTGTGTATGTGTGTGTGTGTTTATGTGTGTGTGTGTGTGTGTGTGTGTGTGTGATTTTGTTTTCTCATAGCTTTTCCACGAAGTACCTTCTACTTTCATTTTTCTTTTATCTTCCTTTCCTATAATAACATCAACAGAAAATTATAAGGTTAAATAACTAAATAAAATATGAGTTTCTACTGGGAAAATTTATTTCCCTGTATTATAATCATTACAATTTTATGGAAACCCAATCTGGCTTACTGTTTTGTTTTCAACTTGTTAGTTTTTTTTTAATTGTGTGTTTATTTTATTAAAATATATTTCTCTTATTATTTTCACAGGGAAAAAGATGGCCTATCAGAAGGTCAATGCAGATCAAAGAGCTCCAGGACACTCACAGTACTTAGACAATGATGACCTTCAAGCCACTGCCCTTGACTTAGAGTGGGACATGGAGAAGGAACTAGAGGAGCCTGGTTTTGACCAATTCCAGCTAGACAGTGCTGAGAATCAGGACCTAGGGCATTCAGAGACTACAGACCTCAATCTTGATTCCATTCAACCAGCAACTTCACCCAAAGGAAGGTTCCAGAGACTTCAAGAAGAATCTGACTACATTAGCCATTATACACGATCTGCACCAAAGAGCAATCGCTGCAACTTTTGCCACCTTTTAAAAATACTTTGCACAGCCACCATTTTATTTATTTTTGGGATTTTGATAGGTTATTACGTACATACAAATTGCCCTTCAGATGCTCTATCTTCAGGAACAGTTGATCATCAGTTATACCAAGAGATTCTCAAGACAATCCAGGCAGAAGATATTAAGAAGTCTTTCAGGTAGGTGAAGAAGAAACATGTTGTTTGAATGCATTTCTTGGGAAAAATGTTTCACATGGGGTATTGAACTGATGATTTTGCCATGGTTCAAGTCAGTTTTGCAAGCTGAGAAACATAATTTACCAGCACAACAAGAATAGAAACTTCAAGGGGAGAGGGTGCACATTTTTAGATTTATGGTACTTCAGTATAAATTTGTGATGCAGTTTGATTGATTACCAGTAAGAATCATAACTTCTGTGGAGACTAGAAGTCTCCAGCCACTGTATTTTCTTCCTCTTGAGAAGCCTAGTTAGGCCAAATTGGGATGCAAAGGTTGCCAGATATACATGTAATAAAAACTAGGACATTAGCCATATCATTAAAAACTTTAATAACATCAGAATAAAATAAACCTGCTTTATGGGCTGAAGTAACTGTCTTCAAAGGCGTCACTGATGTCATATAACTAGTGGATAACTTGGAAAATTTTATTAGCATACATGCTAAGTTGTAAAAGGTTTTCTAGTTTACATATTTAGTGAAGAATTGGATATGGAAGATGAGGTATTACCTTCCACATATGTCTTCTGTATTTGCAGGAAAAGAATAGTCGTAGGTGAATCATGTATGTTGTTTGTAGGTAGATAGAGTAGTGAGGTACTGCTTCTCCAGGATATTCTTTCTGGGTTCCACTGATTTGTTACAGCCAAGATGTTGGCCGGTGTGTATTTCCAGGGATTTTCTCAGAAAAGCATGTCAACTGAATGATGTGTCACTTAATTCATGTACTTAAATTCCATGGGTGTTGGTGTTGGCAGATTCTAATCCTCTTCCTGAAGATTTTGCCTCAGTGACAGACGGGAATGTGTTTCCTACACTCTTCTGTATCTGCTATTCACTTTTGTGTAAGCATCTCTGGACATTTAATATGTGGATAATAACTCTTTTAAAGATACTTCTCAATGTAAAATTGTTCATATTGAATTGAGCTGAAGGACATGCCGTTGTCTTATAATGGATGATTATATCAGTCGGGATCCAATGAAAATAAAAAAAAAAAACTTCCTGAATATTTAAAGCAGAAGGCATTTAAACTATAGAAATTCTTCCAACAATGAACCGAACTGATAAACCAATCAGGCGATACTCAGGTAGCCCAGCGAGTAACAAAATGGAGCCATTACTAAACCTAGACTAGAGGGAGAAGCCATGGGGTTGGGAGTCTGTGCATACAAGGGCAGAGAGGGGGACGTAACCTCAGCTGCAGACACCACTGAAGACAGAGAGGGAAATGCCCCAGCTTCTGTTTTCCTCCGGCCACTGTGTCCTAGCAGTTGTCCTATTGGCTGAAACCAGCCAGAGACTGCTGACCTACAGCCTGGGAAACTCATTCTGAAGGGACCCACTGCCTGAAATATAGGCTGGAGCAGGAAAGTTGCAAATAAAACTAAGTGGTTCAGGATTGTTATTAAAAAACAAAGAAAATAGAAGAACTCTATAAAACTGTTTTTACTTTAACTTCATTATGGATGTTGGTTCTATTAGAAAATTTCTTCCAGAAAAGGATCTTTAGCATTAATTTCTTTTTAATGTTAAGGATAATCGTGTGTGTGTGTGCATTTTTTTTTTTCCTAAGCAACTGGTTACTTTTTAATTTATTGACACAGTGAATACCATAACCTAGTCTGCTTCCTTCTTTGCTTTGGTTCTTAGTAAGTTTAGAGTCAGATTTCTATTTGTAGGTTTATAAGGAACTTCATGACAAGCATTTTGTTTAAAAACTAAACTATGTATTTATTTTATCTCCTTATATTACTTTGACTTTCTTTGCCTTGTTTTAAACCTTTTTTCAGCACCGTTGTGGTCTTTAAAAACTGTCTTATGTCCTCTTTGCAAATAGGCAACTAATTATAAAATTTTAAATACATAATAATTACATTAAAATATTATTTTTCTCAGAATGGAAGCTGCATGATGGTAAGGATTATATTCCAGTCTTAAACTCCAAAATCAATAAAATAACATTTATGTCAAATCTAGCTATGAAAGTATAACCACTAGCAATTACACTCCCAGGTAGTTTTCTATGGTTAGGCACAGATTCACAATTATGGGTCCATCAAATAGCCAGAGTTTTTTTCTCTTTATTGAGATAACATACTTTCTATTTCAAAAAAACCATATTTTTGGTACAAATATCTTTGCAAGCGTAACAGCTTCTCATCCAAAAATGACTTTACCCTCAGTAGTCATCCCACCCGCATATTCTTATGAGTCTCTGTGTTTACTAAGCCATCTTAGCCTTAAGAATGTACCTCTTACTAGTAGTAGATCCCTGCTGTTACTTTCCATGAATTCATTAATAACTTTGTGCTCTTACTGGCCCACTATTTTGTTCATCGATTGCTCTCTCTCTTCTCTGTTGGTTCTTTTTTCCTGCACATGCTCTAAGCCCATGTCAGTTCTTATCAAGTAGCCTAATAGTTGTGTAATACAAGATATGTTCTTTTTATAATAGATTAGACTGCAGACTCTATGAGAGAATGGACCAAACTTGATTGTCCACCATTTAATGCAATCATCTAATAGACATTAAGTAATTATTTTTTAAAGAATAAAATGAATGCATGAATAAATGAGAAAATGTTCTATGTTTATCAATTATACTATATATTTTTCAAATTATTTTACCATTTATATTTTTCATATTTTACAATGTTATACAAAATATGAACATAGCACTTTATATTATATCACATGGTCATATTTAAGTTATATAATTATGCTATAATTACTCAGAGGATAGCCTATGTTCTAATTTTAAATACATGCATGGTGGCTTGTGCCTGTAGTCCCAGTTGCTCAGGAGGCTGAGGCAGGAGAATTGCTTGAACCTGGAAGGTGGAGGTTGCAGTGAGCTGAGATGGTGCCGCTGCACTTCAGCCTGGTGACAAAACAAGACTCTGCTCAAGGAAAGAAAACAGAAAATGTTATAAATTACCTTCAACAATACCATGATGAATAACATCTTGTCTGGAAACCTAGTTAAAAATGCTGCTTCAGATATAGGCATATTTTAGTAATTAATATAATAAATTGGATTCCTAAGTCTCATTTGTTTTCTGTTCTTCCAAATGTAAAAAACAATCTTGTTCTCTCTGTTCTCTTTCTTCTTTCTCCTCCATTACTCCCTTTCAGCCACTAAATTGTATATTTAGTTATGTGTAATATGGGTGTTAAATTTTGTAGTACTAATTAAACTTTACCATTGACACTATTTGGTTAGATTAGCTGGCTTTAGTGACATCAAACTAAGGAAGTAACAAATTTACTGTGTATATACTGCCACTTTCTGTGCCATGCTCCTGCCCATGAATCATAGCACTCTTTATTGCTGTACTCAGACCTTGCCTCAGAATCCTTCTCAACCCAACACTCTTGAAAGCTCCATTCATTGATCAGAAACACACAAGAAAGATTTTGCCATTCTTACGATATAGCTATGCTTGGTCAACTGATATAATTAAGTTGATTTAACTTATAGGGATAAATTTTTCTCTTCTGGAAAGATAAATTCCATAATTTTAACCAGGACAACTAGCTACAGCAAGAAACACAACTCATGACCAATCTATAAGGCCAAAAAGTCCAAAATCTTGCAACCCTGCATTTTAACGTTTAATGTATTTTTACAGACTTTCCTGTACAAAGTTGATATCCTGAAAGGAGAAAATCTCTGTCCAAGCTATCTAAAAGCAAAATATATATATATATATATATATATATATATATATATATATATATATAAAATTTACTTTTTCACCTATAACTTTCTCACCTGCATTAATTTACCATCCCATAATATAAGAAAACATGCAGCTGGGGTGCTTTCCTGTCCCCTTCTTTTAACTCAGACATTAGGTTTGTTTACTTGTTATAGTATTGGTGCCTTTCCTGTGCACACGGTTTTCTCATTTTTTATCTCTCCCTTTCCGCACCTGCCACCCATGTTAACTTCCTTCCATTCAAGAACCACTGCGTTTCATTTATCAAAGAATGAATAATCGAGCAAGTTTCCTGTTCAAGCAACTGGACAACTTGTACATTACCTCCAGTCTTAAATGAGGGAATCAAGGCAGTCCCTACCTAAAGGTAAACTGACTGTGGAATTCATGAAGACCCACAGAGTGGTTTTATGGCTGTCAGGACACTAGAAAGGCTGATATGAAATAGTGGTTTGTCTCTCCTCTCACCGCACAGAAATATATATTTGACTGACATGCTTTTGTACAAACACAAGATTTTGCTGTTGTTTGATGATGTTGTTTGATGATGATGATGCCATCAGCAGCTATTCTCTTCTAGTCTCCAGCTTTATCTTCCAACCATATTTTGGCCCTTCTTCACCTTATTACTGTTATTATTATAACAGTATTTGTCTTCCCCACATGTTTTTTGTCCCTCTCTAATTTCAGTATTAAAATGAATGAGAGGAGGAAGATTGGGAGAAATGAACAAAGCAATAAAGCAACTGCTGTTTGAATTGGAGAAAAACATGTAAATGTATGCACATAATTCAGAGTATGCAAACGATAACAGAATGAATTTAACAGTAATAGAGTGATGGCTCCTAAAGGAAGTAATTAGCTATCCTATCATTGATCTCTCCAGATAACAAATGTGCGTTGTCTTAAATTTAATCAGAAAAGGAATACATAGGATAAAATTGATTTAATTATGCATAGTGTTTCATTGTTCTGAACCTTAAATAAGATAACTTCTTAACTCAGAGTTTCTCAGTGTTATGCAGAATGGCATTAATTGTCTTAACTGGATTCAACTCACAGATGCAAGCTCGTGCCCCTCACTATCCTTAGGTATTTGACAAGAGCAGCACCCACCAAGGGGAAGAATAAGGATTGTTGAAGGGGACTTTGACTGCACTAACCTTCTCCATCTTAATCTGTTAAAATACTGTAAAATACTATTTGAGATTTGGTTCAGGTGCCCACTCCTTC